TAATAATAACAAAAAATAATATTTTCACAATTACGTAATATTTCCTTACCTCAATCTACGTGTCGAGTGAACGAAAGAACACGTATTGTTGCTCATGAATGTAGCTTATTTTAAAAGAACTCTTTATCAGTGAGGCTTAATTTATCGTAACGATAAATAAATTATGATATCGCCACAGATTCACCTTTTCTGGTGCTGAGAACATAATAAGCTCAAAATATGGTGGACTGACCTGAACATAAGAGGCAAAAGCGAAAAACAAGGCCATGAAACCATTCGCAACTCGCCACATCCATGGGTTGCAAACCTTCCCGATTAATGTTTCTTGTTTATCTTCAACAGTTACAATAGAACTCTGCTCGGTCATTTTTTCCTAATATCACTTGCTTCAACAGCTAATGGAAACTGTAGAATTGCGTGCAAAAAAGATCACCAAAACTAATAAAAGAGAAAAGATGTGATCTATCAGGAAGCTCAAATCAAAAAATTATTTGAGTGAGATGATTACTCCACAAGCACTTCACACGCTAAATCAGTCATGCATTCAACCCAACTCAAAATTACCAAACCTACTTCGATCAATATATTAATTGAAGTGAATCTTACCCTTTTGTTTTCAAACAAAAGTATCGTGTATGGTTTAATGCTTCCTTTGTGAAGAATCTTCCTCATTCCGTTTCCAGGCAATGGTTTAAGAGATCTGTCACGTAGAATTTCTTACCTCAGCTTTATGTAAATTTGCATAATTCCGTGGGATACCTGTGGCACATCACGGTAAATTCTTTCACGTTCTATAGTACAAAGCTAGCTAATTGGAATGCGCAACATCTTTATCTATTTTACTAGTGATCACATGTAAACATTAGCGGCTGGATTGATCAAAAGGGAACAGAAATAATCCTGTGCTTTTCTGACAAAAAAACTGTGGAATTTATTTCCGCCTATCTTTAATTTCACTTAGTCAAAAAACTTTCAGTGCGTTCTGATGTATTTTCGTTCCGAGGCAGAAATCTTATCAGATATATGCTGAACCACTGTGAGGCGAAACGCGACATAGAATTGGAAAATAGTGGAATTAGGCTTGTGCAGGCGAAGAGAGATTTGCATTGCAGCGGCTAAATTTTAACGAATTTTGCATGCGGAAATTCGATAAACGCAGGATGCTATTTTGTGCTGTTTTTGTGGGCTACTTATGCGTTGATTATTCTGCGGAGTTGGATGTTTACCATAATTATGGATCTCTCCGTGATTTTCTGGAACCTTGGCTTTTGAAGTAAGAGCAACCTTGCATTGCTACAAGACCAATAACTACAAGTTCACCACCATGTTTCAACTGTAGATTAAGTACTTACTGCACGAGTCGGCCATAGGTAGAAAGGATAAAGGAGATAGTGGACTTTATTTAACATGTTGTGGTGTGTCTGCCGATCATTTATTCGCTGGTAAATGTACAATATTGAAAAGAAAGGTGTACAAATTAAATCTCTGTGCGAGTCGATTAAGATGTTATTAAATGTCTAAATATCGAAGTGATAGGTTGGCCAAAACGTCAGACTCTAGTTGGAGTAATTATAGCGTTACCGTTTTTCAGTTCACACAACATTCCGGTGAAAATTCAGATTATATTAGGTTGAACGCTTAAGGATGAATTTTATAAAAATGATAATTGACGATCGATTTTCTATATTCCCCCTCTATACTCTGTTGGCAACAACTGGACCCCACTCCACTGCGTCTGGAAAACCATTTAATCCACTGCAAAATCCTCCACTACCCCCCTCCCCTGGGAGATAACTAATGATTGGTTATAAGATGATCTAAAAAATGCAATGTTCAGATCACATGCCATTGAACAAACTTTATGATAGACCGTGTAATCAAAGGAAGAGAAGCCAAGTGCGAAGGACAGATAAGACAGCAGCTAGGTAGCTGTAATGACAAGTGTTGGGCAAGCTTTGTGATCATTACAAGACTTGAACAGATCTTCCTTATTTTGGTTTAAATTTCATAAGATTAAAAGTAAAGCAAGAACCAAAATCCAGGGAATATAACGTATGTAAAAGGCTCGATTTTCCAAGGTTTCCGGGACGCTATGGTGGTGTGGAGGGGGGAGTAGAAAATTGTTGACTGGGACACATTGAAAAAGTATTTTTGCTGAAATGAGAAATAACTCCACGTGAGGAATTAAAAACATTTTTGCCGTTTGTAGAGTATCACTCCAACAATAATGAATAACACTAAATCTCAAACAGAAAGCTGACAGCAGAAGTTGGAGGAAATTAAGGATTTTATTTACCTTTGCTTCAAAGATACTTTTAAAAGAGGCCAACGGTACTTCAAAAGTTGGCAAGCTTTCAACATAGTCAAAAGTTTTTGATCTGTCAATATACATGCTTTTAATAAAGACAAATTGAGTTATCACTGCTAGGGTTCTACAGCTTCGTGTTATTGAATCGCACTACTATTCCTAGAAAACTAAGGTTTGAGTGTTGCACGTGATTTTTTTTAATCCTACGCCACCAGCCTGATGCAACACTAACACCGACGTGTGGTTTAACAGCTGTTTCATTACGCGAAACATAAAACCAACAGAGCGGTCAAACATTTTGAACGCGTGTCTAGCGTAAAGTAAGGAAAATAAGATTAAATTCCTAACAGTTTCAATGCGTAAGACAAATGAAAAAGGATTTTGTAGAAAGATTAAATCTTGCCTTTATTTTATTGCGAGATATCCCAACTGCTTTTAACGCGGACGCTTCGCTTTGTTGATAAGGAAAAGGACCGAACCCTTCCTCTTCTCTTGTTCGACACTCCACTGTCTGCCATAAACATAGACCTGTGATCGTCACGAATATCTTGTGTGGCTCTGGTTCTTCCTTTTTTCACATATTTCCCTCGATTTTTACCGGCAACTTCACCATGAACACAACAAAGAATGACTACAGCCAGCGCGGCCAACTTTACGGATGGCTTTATCACCCCGCCGTGCAAAGTGTAAAAAAAAGTACACGAGTGTAAACTTACACGTAGTGGGTCAAGTCCAGAAAAACAATATGTAAAAGTTTCGGCCTCAGAAACTTCGAACTTTCCTTAGAAACTGCGAGAAAAGTCCCACATCGATTCTCCATGTTTACGATAACAAATTTTCTATCATAGTGCGCATGTGCAATCATTTGACCGCTGTGTTGATAAAACCAAAGCAAAGTCATGTGTCGGTGTCAGAAGGTCAGCATTAGATTCCATCCACCAAAACCACCTCGGTCGAGAGGGACTGAGATGGAATATTTAATAGCTTGCAAATCATAGCCGAAGATTCTCGGAAGTCCGCGAGGAGACTTAGCCGAACACCCGAAGAACAAACAGAAGCAACATGGCGGGAATTTTAAAGCGCGAACCTTCGCCTGATGGTAGAGATGCGGATAATTTCGGATACGTAAATTCTGTTGATGAGGCGTATAAACTCATTGCGGAGTTCGAAAGAGGATCGACGACGAAGTTTTCTTGCTTTAAGGCTGACAAAGGTTTCGGAAACACTGGTATGCATATATATATTTGAAAGCGTTACGTCGCGCTAGCTTGTATCTCTCTCGTCCTTGCTCTACTGAGCCTATCTTCCATTACAATTTAACAACAGATCACTCGAACAGAAGTCACAAAATACTCTGGGAAGATCCACGAGACATTAAAGGAGCAAAAATTCGTTTTACTGGTGTGCCTTTCATAATTTTGGGAAGGAAAGTGTTCGATTGTCAGCACGGCAAAGATAGAAAAGCTGGAGAGAAAAGGAAACGACAAGATGCAGAAGAGGTAAATAAAATATTGTACTGTACGTACATACTTTTTTTTTAGTCCGCGACATTGGTGTTGCTACTGTCACCTTTGACTTGCTAACCCGAAAGGTCAAATACACATATCGCTGGATCAAATGACATTGATCTCAAAATACTTTTATGACAACCGCGACAACAGTTCAATCTCGGCTAAATTGAAGATGGTTTAGAACTTATCAATTAAAAAAACCTCTAACTGATGTATGCTGCTGACAAAAGAGAAAATTAACGCAATTCTACCTTTTTTTGCTTTCTATAAAGCAGTCGTATGTCGGCTCCTTATCTTTCAAGGCATCACGCAATAACACTTCTGTTTCTTCACATTCCAGAAAATAACTTGAGAAATACACTGTCACTCATCTCACGCTGATATATTTATCTTTCACAGAAGGCTGGTCACAAAGATTTCGTATTCAAGAAAAGAAGATTTCTCGTTCAAGACACACGGAAGTTTGACTGCAAAGCACAGATAAAAATGCGAGAAATTTTATTTTTTGCAGAGCACAAGGTAGTTCCACTTGTGTATTAACAGAACGAATCCGGTTTACTGAATAAATCAGATATGCAGTACTGTCCAAAACTCCTGCTACATAGTCACCTTTTTGACTGGAATGACGATTTACGAAAGGTGGTCCCGTTCCTTAGTTATTCAAGAAAATTCGAACTTTCTGATGTTTTTTACCTCTGTCTGGGACGTGAGTGTGGTCAAACAAAGCTAACACGCTGCCAGCACCAAGTTTTCTTTTCATCCACATAACGTGAATCAATTTTAAAACAGAAAAATCGAGTTCAAGCAGCGGGAAAAACTTATTTGTGCACTGCATCAGTCACATTCAGTTTACCGTTACAAGGCATCCATTTTTTTCCTTTAAGTGTATCATTTTTCGTCTTTCAGATTCAAGAAGACAGCAAAAAGAGACGGGAAACTGCGTCTAGAAATTTGCGAAAAGCTTTGGAAGAAGGAGTCGCCAAGTACGAAAGAAGGATTTACATTGAACTACCTCTCATTACAGACCATCAGAATCACTTCGTTGGCGAGGTAACTTAGTGTTCAACACGAACTAACGCAACGATCATTGAAAAAAATTACACCTTGTGTTGACCTTGCGTTAAAATACATGATAATAATTCAATCCCAGGGACTTGTTACAGAGTTGGCGGGCAAGCCGGTCAAAATGGGACATAAAAGTGCCTGTACATTTTTCGCCACGATTTCGTTTTCCTTGTTGTTGTTAAAGTACAATTTCAAGCATTCACACAATATAAAAAAAAAAATTGGAAAGGAGTAAATAACGTATAGGTGTGCATTACTAGGGCGTTCCCACTTGAAATAGCGAGCATTTTCACAATTGGAGTTTTTTATTTCTATAGGTCGCTGGAATCTCTCAACCTCTTGATGAGAAGATCATCAGGAGGATCCACGAGCTCGTAGCGGAGGGAGTTCAAGAAATATATGAAATGAGACGGCATTTGAAAATCTTCGTGAAAGAGGTCTTGTTTCGAGATGATCAGCCACCACAAGACACAAACCGACGATACTTCCCTAGGACATCTGACCTGCGCACGCACATGTATCGAGCTACGGTTAAAAACCGCATGTCAAGAATTGACCAGGTAAATGTCCACATGAAGACAGATGAGTGGAGAAAAGTTTACAACGCTGATTCCTTTTTCTTTCGTCCCCACTCAGAACAAGTAAACACGCCTATGGAGGTTCCAGTCTGGTCTGAAAATGAAAAAGAAGAAGGTTATCACTGCAAAATTAAGCATTAGGGTTCTTACTTACGTATTGATTATCGTATATCTGTGATCTTTGCCCCCCCTTGACGAGACATCCCTTGATTTTAACATAACGCTTTTTTTATGTTGTTGTTGTTATAGATGAGTTGGATGAGGAAATACGTCTCACTCAAGAGGGGGGAGAACAAAGCAGGAAATTGTTATTTGTGCATCAAACAGCATGGCAAAAGCGACTGCTTCGTCTGTATGGCAACGACATCTGCCTTCTTGACGCTACGTACAAGACAACGCGATACGCACTACCTCTGTTTTTTCTAGCGGTAAAAACTAATGTTGATTACCAGGTGGTAGGGTCCTTCGTGACTGAAGATGAAACTGTGTGTTCAATAAAGGAAGCCCTTAAAGTAGTAAAAGAGTGGAATCCAGACTGGTCACCACATCTATTCATGACAGATAACTGCTCACAGGAGATACAAGCCATCGAAAATTTGTTCCCAGGTAAGTCTGAGTTAATGGCACCTCAGCCCGCATTTAAATTTCAAGATGCAACGGTACGTCTCTGAAAATAACACCCCAAGATTTCCAAAAACAAGTCGTTCCTTCTTTTTGGCCGCAGACTGGAAAGGTTAGCTATTGAACACACTTTTTCAATATATTTTAGAATGCAAAGTACTACTTTGCGACTTCCATCGGGAACAAGCCTGGGAACGATGGGTGTCCAAAACGGCTAATGGTGTTGTGGCACATAAAGAGGAACTGCTCGCCTTGCTGCGAAGAACAGCACATGCTTCCACGAGGGAGGAATTCGAGTCCGCTGTCACAGTGCTGGAAAATTTCCACGTTTGGAAAGGTCAGCATTAGATTCCATCCACCAAAACCACCTTGGTCGAGAGGGACTGAGATGGAATGATGGACAACTCATGACATGTAGCTATGACATGTTATACTAAATGAAAATTACGAAGCTACGACAACATGCCGACTTATCCCGATGACCTAAGTGTATCATTTGTTTGGGAAATTGCGTCAAAACTTTTTACTTAAGAAATGGTAAGTATTAATTTATTGTTCGATTGTAGTATTATAAAACATTTTACGCAATTTTATGTAGATATTTCACGTATTTAAAAGGTGCCCAGATGTTACGTAGTTTTGGTGGATGTCATTAGGGAACATCCACCCAAACTCTGACCAAAACCATCGACAATATATTTTTTAAATTTTATCTATAGCCACTGTTAGATGTTCAGGGAGACAAAAGATTTATACCACTAATTATCAGTTAGTGCTCTGGCTAATTATTTTTTATGGTGCACAATTGCTGACCGACCAAACGTTCATAATGATTATCATAACTCTTAACACATAGAATGAAGTGGTTTTGGTGGATGTTTCTCTCCATCCACCAAAACCACCATAGCAATTTCTGCTACTTCCTTACAGAAGACTGATGTGACCTGCTATTTGGATTACATAACCACAATCTATTTCTTTGTATGTAGAGATATTTTGCAAAGTTCTTGAGTCAGCACCTTTTATTATTGAAACCATAATCATAACATGGTGCACAATATAGAATACAAAAGGTTCTGGAGTGGTAATCATGTAATCTTGAAACAGGAGAGTTTTTAACTGACTTAAACTGATTTAAGCAGACATTTGCAACAAAATTCCAGGTCCAGAAATTTCTTCCACTATTTCTGCTAAAATCATAACCTTTAAGTACAACAAATCAGCACATTAGTAATTGTTATCAGGGGTCTGAAAATCCTATAAATCTTTCACATTTATTTCAAGTAACCTTTAATTTCACATGGATGAATAAGTATACGCTCAAGATGCAGAATGTCTTACATTTTACAAACTATTTCCCTTTTTATGGATAGACAGTGAAAGGCCTTTGCCACATTGGTGAATCAAACCATTGTATACCATGCATTTTGTGATAATTGTTTGTTTTTGCTCACAATATCCAGAAAAATGGAGGGGATAAATTTAAATAGCAAATTCTATTAATGGTTAAAATTAAATAACATTGGAAGATCAAATTAACTTTGTACTGTTTAAAATTCAGTTTTGGTTTCTTGCTTATTCCAGCCTCTTAATATTCAAAAGCCTTGTCATTTTTGTGTTCTTCTGTGTACATAACGTGAAAAATAAACGCAGAGAAAGGAAACCACAAAGGATTAAACTTGAAGCTAAAGCAAAGTTTAAGTTGAGCCATAGCTGATCCAAATACTGAGCACTTTGTATTGTAACCCATTTAGCAGTAAAGTTTATCTATATGTCTGCCAGCTTGTCACAAGTCTAACCCCTCTCCTTCAAAAGTCTCTATAAATAAATTTTTCTTTGTGGTCCCTAATTGATGATAAGTATATTACAGCTCCTCAATTTTCCTCTCTCAAGACAAGGTTACTCTAAATTTAACAAAGTAATGGACTTGATAAAACTCAAACTATAACTCAGCTGGCTGCTACTTGCAACCTTAATTTCTAGATATCAGTATACAATAATCAATATGTTATAAATAAGAACCCTAATGCTTAATTTTGCAGTGATCACCTTCCTCCTTTTCATTTGCAGACCAGACTGGAACCTCTATAGGTGTGTTTGCTTGTTTTGAGTGGGGATGGAAGAAAAGGAGTCATGCCACATATCTGATTTATTAAATCACATTTGTTCTGTTTATACATGAGTAGAACTACCTTGTTCTCTGAAAAAAATAAAATTTCTCGCATTCTCGTAACCCCTGTAATAGCAAGAGCCCTGGAAAAGGCAGTCTATAAGATTCACGCCCAAAGGCCGGTAGAAGAACAGCTGTTGAATAGTCAATTCGCGTATAGAGAAGGAGGGAGCTGCACAGATGCTCTGCTACTTATACAGAATAAGATCTGCAAGTTTCTTGATGATCCCAAGTGCAAGGCAGTGCGGATGTTCGCGATGGATTTCAGTAAGGCCTTTGACTCTGTGAGCCATCAACTCCTTGCTGAGAAACTTAAGAGTCTACCACTTAACCCGTATATCATAAACTGGTGGTTAGGTTTTTTGCGAGATAGAAAACAAAGAGTTATTTTCGGGAATCATGTCTGTAATTGGAAAACAGTTAACAAGGGCACAACCCAGGGTAGTGTTTCAGGACCTTATTTGTTCAATATATTTCTTAACGATCTGGAAATTAAATTAGGGAACGAGACACTTGGTTTCAAATACGCTGATGACTGTACGATTATTGCTCCGGTATATTATTATAAAGATCACTCTGTAGACTTAATAAATCAGTTTTTACAGTGGGCAAGCCAAAATAGAATGAATTCAAATTCTACTAAATGTAAAGAGCTTATTATGTATAAAAAAGGTCACACTGCTGAGGCCTACAAAAGTATTTTTGGCATACCTCAGACTAGTACAATAACCATTCTTGGTCTCACGTTTCAGCCGAACTGCAAATTCAGTACTCACCTAAAAGAAAAGTTAGGTAAAGCTAATAAATGTTTATACGTTATCAGATGCCTCCGCAAAGAAGGATGTAGCCAAGCAGAAGTAGATGTTTTATTTAATTCCATTGTCCTACCTAATATTACTTATGCTCTATCTGTGCATGGGGCCTCTGAGTCAGAGCTAACTATAGCCCAGCAGTTTTTAGATCGTTGTTTTAAACGTAGTTACATATCTAAGAAATTAGTGATAGGTGACTTACTTAAAACGCAAGATCACAAAATTTGTCGCAAGGTTTCAACTATCCTGAGCCATCCTCTTAGAGCCTACTTCCCTGAGACCAAGATCACGAGGTATAATTTGAGAAATAAATCCCCTGTCATGCCCGCCATTCGCACAAACCGTTTTAAGAATACATTTTTTAATAGAATTGTTTTTAAGTACAATGTAGCTTTGTAAAAGTGTACTTCCTGTATTAGACTTTTGTATTTGTTTCCACGTATATACTTATCTTATTTAGATACACCTAAGCTTATTTACATCCTTTTTTTAATGTAACATAAGATATGTAATTTTATCTTTTGAACAATAAAGACACACAAAGACACACAAAGACACACAAAAGACATTTTTATCTGTGCTTTGCAGTCAAACTTCCTTGTGTCTTGGACAAGAAATCTTATTTTCTTGAAAACAAAATCTTTGTTTCCAGCCTTCTGTAATAGGTATCAAGTTATTTTTTGGAATGTGACAAAACGGAAGTGTCATAGCGTGATAAGGAGCAAACATACGATTGCTTGATAGAAAGCAAAAAATGCAGAATTGCATATATTTTCTCCTTTGTCAGCAGCATATGTTAGTGAAAGTTCTTATAATTGTTAACTTCTAAACCATCTTCAATTTAGCCAAGATTGAACTGTTATCACTTTTGTCATAAAAGTATTCTGAGATCAATGTCATATGACCCATTTAAGTATTTGACCTTTCGAATTAGCAAGCCGTAGTTGACAGAAACACAAAGGTTGAGGATAAAAAGAAATTATTATATACAGTACTTCTTCTGCATCTTTTCGTTTCCTTTTCTCTCCAGCTGTTCTATCTATGCCGTGCTGGCAATTGAACACTTTCCTTCCCAAAATTAGGAAAGGCACACCAGTAAAAAACGAATTTTTGCTCCTTAAATATCTCATGCATCTTCCCCCAGTATTTTGTGACTTCTGTCCTAGGAAGGAGGTGTAAGCATTAAATTAACCCGAATGATTCCACAATTGTGGTATCATCCAAGCCATGCCAGAGGACTTGAAATAGATAAACTAGTGAGAATGCACAATAGCGATAGCAAAGCTTTGTAATGCTAAAGAGCTTCCCGAAACCTTTGACAGCTTTAAAGAAAGAAAACTTCGTCGTCAATCCTGTTTCAAATTCCGCAATATGTTTATGCGCCTCATCAACAGAATTTACGTATCCTAAATTATCTGCATGTCTACCATCAATGGTTCGCGACTTAAAATTCTCGCTATGCTGTTTCTGTTTGTTCCTCAAGAATCATGGGATTTACAGCTTCGGATGTTCGGCTACATCACTTGCGGATTTCCGAGAATCTTCGGTTATGTTTTGCAAGTCATTAAATATTCCATCTCAGTCCCTCTCGACCGAGGTGGTTTTGGTGGATGGAATCTAATGCTGACCGTTTGGAAAAGCAACAAAGCCTTACGTCACTGGTTCCAAGACACGTGGCTGGCAGAGCGAGAGGTTAGTTTCTACAGCAATCATTCGTCGATAAAAGCCTTAACACTAACGTCCAGTCTTCCCTTGATATAAAGTTCAAAAGATGGTGGTGAGATTGAAATAGTGAGGGTTGAGAAAGAGAACTGCAACCTTCACCCAAGAAGTCCATGTTGACTATTCTCTCTGATTTATTCTCTTTCGCATTGACGCTACTCAAACATTTTCAAAAGGTGAAGAATTGGGACGCCAAAGCTGTTAAGCGATGCTTCAGTCTCCCTCACCTGGTCCGGACGAGGAAAACTTCCATTGCCGAGTAAACATTTAAATTTGAAAAGCGAGGAAATCAATACCCGTAGAAATCTGGGATCCATTGGGAAAACTTATATTTTAAGATACTTTAGTAAGAAACGCTACGTCAACAAATTTTCCAATTCATACAAACACCAATTTATGTTTTCTTTTCAGCGATGGGTTTGGGCTTTTCGGAAAGATCGTCTTAAAGTAGCTGTCAATACCAACAACGGTCTTGAAAGACAAAACGAGGATTTCAAATACAACCACCTCGCTAACCATAGGGATAAGAGCCTGAGTGGAATGCTCTCTGTGCTCATCACCGATTTTTTACCAGAAAAGTACTCAAGGTAATCTGTAGTTCTGTAATTACTGAACATTGAGTGGCGTGTAGTGGGTTAACGCATCAACAAATAATAATGAAAAAGAGAACAATTCATCTTGCGACCTTACGCTTCCAAAGGATAGTTATTTAGTATCAGTACGTGCTCACTATACTTTCGGCCACATGAAAAACACATATGCAACTAACGCAGGGGGACAGCAAAAGTTATGTAAATTTAACTTGCTCCGCCCATGGTAAAACGTTTAACCTCTTGTCGTTTTCTTCTTCGTGCAGGTACATGGAAAAAAATGTCAGGTGTCACAGAATGTACAGAACATACAACAAAGAGTTACCGGAATTCCTCGTCAACAGGCCAAGATATTTTGTGGAGCACTGCAAAGAAAAAATCAGCCTTGCAATGGATATAAAGAAGAGTAGCATCAAGCCATCAGACACTGGAGGTGTATTTGAAGTTAAAAGTCAATCGTCAAGTAGGCGGTGGTACCGGCTGCAGTTTGGGGACAAAGAAGGAACATCACCCTCATGCGAATGTGAGGCATGGCAGAGAAGGCGCTTGCCTTGCAAGCACTTCTTTGCTATTTTTACGCACTTCCCAGAGTGGAATTGGGAGAAACTGCCGCAAAACTATCGGGATTCGCCATACCTAACCCTAGATTATCATCTAATCAATGGCAGCAGTCCTTTTCCTTCCCCATCCAGTGTCTTACCTGAAGCCAATAGTGATAGTCCACAGCTGGATGAGCCACTGCCAAGAAAATCGTGGCTGTGTTCAAAAGAAAACGTATCCCCTGTTCCTGAAACAGCTATCCCACTAAGGTTCACTCATCACCAAAAGAAAAGTGAAGGAAAAAAATGCCGCATACTCCTGGATGAAATTCGCCAACTCACATTCGTAGTTCAAGATCAAGAAGCGTTGGCAAATCTTTATAGGGAGCTATCGAGTCTTCGTGACGAAATACAACAGTTCAAAACATCAGAAGACGGACTCGTCATAGAAGGTGGTGAGAGCAGTCCTTTCATGAGAAAAAGCATAAAAATGGAAAACAAGGCACGCAGCTTGATTGAAAACCGATGTAAAACTTCCCTACCAAAAAAGAAACCGAAAAACAGATACAATGCGCGGGTGGGTGTGAAGGCTGCTATGAAGCGAAAGACATGCTTTGTCCACGTACCTGTCACACCAATAACCGAATATCGAACAGCATTTTACAAAAAAACAAAACCTGCAATCTTCCTTGAGCAGACAATCAGTAAAGAAAAAGAAGAGGAAACCAGTAATGAAGAGGACAAAGTGGAAGCTGTGAATGCTTCCAAATCTGATGAAACAACAACCACATCCAAAGGAAGTGAAAATTGTGAAAGAGAAACTGACGTGTATGGCAAGCAGGAATGTGAATTTGGAAAGCTAAAAGAAAACAGTGGTAAAGAAGGCGAAATGGAAGGTTCCCCATCACCCAAATTATACAACAAAAATGAAACGAAAAATGAAAAGAAGGAAACTGTAAAGAAACCTCCTCCTGCAGCAGTAGTGATTGACGATGACAGTTCATCACCAAAAATTTGGTTAACTTTACAAAATGTTTGCCCGGACGATCCGGAATCGCGACTCACAATCCTGGAAGCCACCAAAAACAACATCTTGGACAAAAATGGATGGCTTTATGACACAGAAATCAATGCTGGCCAAATCCTTCTTAAGAAACAATTTCCTCTGGTTGATGGCCTTTGTGATCCTGCTATAAGAGGTCATTTGGTCGATCCAGCAACATCTGAGTTTGTGCAAATCATAAATGTTGGACACTGGCTATGTCTTAGCACAATTGGTGTGTCACATCCTGGCACTGTCAGAGTCTTTGACAGCCTGTTCATCAAGCCAAATGCCATTGCAGTTGAACATGCCTGTCAGATGTTGCTGCATGCTGGTGATACAGTCACCTTCATCAATGAGAAGGTACAAAAGCAGATAGGTTCTGCTGACTGTGGTCTTTTTGCCTTAGCATTTGCCACAGATTTATGCCAAGGTTTAGATCCAACGACTCAGCGTTACGATCAAGCACTGATGCGACAGCACTATGTCACATGTCTTGAAAGTGCCAAAGTTACTCCCTTTCCAAAGACTATAAGAAGGGTTCCTTGTCATGTCGTTGAAAACAAGACATTGGTACAAATTTTTTGCAAATGTCGACTGCCAAATGACAAGAAAGAATATGTTATGTGCTTTAGATATTCCAGTTGGTATCACCCTGAATGTGTGCAAGTACCAGATTGGGCAATCAACTCAAAGAGGAAATGGCAATGCCAAAAATGTAAAGATCACAAAGCATTAAGACTACAAAACAGTTTGGCTTAAATATCAAGAAATTAATGTTGCGAGTAACAGCCAGTTATAGTTAGAGTTTTATCAAGTCCTTTACATTATTAAATTTAGAGTTATCTTGTTTTGAGAGAAGGAGATCGAGGAGCTGTAATATACTTATCAATATGGGACCACATAGAAAAATTTGTTTACAGAGACTTTTGGAGGAGAGAGGGGGAAAACTTGTGACAAGCTGGCTGACATATACATGAACTTTACTAAATGGGTTAAGTGCTCAGTATTTGGATCAGCTATGGCTCAAATTTTAACTTTGCTTTAGCTTCAAGTTTAATCCGTTGTGTTTTCCTTTCTCTGTGTTTATTTTTCAAGTTATGTTACACAAAGAACACAAAAATAATAAGAAATGCTTTTGAATATTAGGAGCCTGGCATAAGCGAGAAACCAAAGTTAATTTGGATAACAAAGTTAATTTGATCTTCCAATGTTATTTAATTTTGACCATTAATAAAATTTGCTATTTAAATTTATCTCCTCCATTGTTTTGGATGTTGTGTGCAAAAAACAAATAAATAAACAAACAAACAAGAAAACATTCAGTTACAACTGTCCTCTATTGTGGTCAATTATAACAAAATACACGGTATATAATGATTTCATTTACCAATGTGGCAAAGGCCTGTCACTGTGTGTCCATAAATTAAAAGGGAGGTAATTTGTAAAATGTAAGCCATTCTACATCTTGAGTGTATAACTAATCATCCATATGAAATAGAAGGTTACTTGAAATAAATGTGAAAGATTTATAAGATATTCAGACCCCTGATAACAATTACTGATGTGCTGATTTGTGGTATTTAAAAGTAATGATTTTAGAGGAAGTAGTGGAAGAGATTTCTGGATATGGAATTTTGTTGTAAATATCTGTTAATTCAGTTAAAAACTCTCTCTTATCATATTTCAAGAGTACATGATTGCCACACCAAAACCTTTTGTATTCGACATTGAGCACCATGTTATGATTATGGTTTCAGTAATAAAAGGTGCTGACTTAAGAACTATGCAGAAATATCTATGAACAAAGAAATAGATTGTGGCTATTTACTCCAATAGCAGGTCAAACCATCCCTCTCTGAAGGAAGTAACAGAAATTGTCATGGTGGTTTTGGTGGATGGAGAGAGAAACATCCACCAAAACCACTTCAATTTTACGTGTTATGATTTCATTATGAACGTTTGGTCAGCAATTGTGCATTATAAGAAATAATTAGCCAGAACACTAACTGCTAATGTTTTGCGGAATAAAATCTTTTGATTCCTTGAAGATCTAACAATGGCTTTAGATAAAGTTAAAAAAATACTCATGATGGTTTTGATCAGTGTTTTGGTGGATGGCCACTCCTGACATCCACCAAAACTACCTAACACTTTGGCACCTTTTAAATATCTGAAATATCTGCCTAAAATTTCGCAAAACGTTTTATAATACTACCATCAAACAATAAATTAATATTTACCATTTCTCGGGTGTAAAGTTTTGATGCAATTTCCCAAACAATACCACACTCAAATCATCGGGATGAATCGGCATGTTTTCGTAGCTTCATAATTGTCTTAAAGTATAATACGTCATGACGTGTCCATCATTCCATCTCAGTCCCTCTCGACCAAGGTGGTTTTGGTGGATGGAATCTAATGCTGACCGTGTCGGTCAGAAGATCATGCAGATTTTCCTTTGAAAGACGTGATTCGATGGAGGTGTTAAAAACATAAAACCAAAGCAAAGGTAATTTCTTATCCGAAATATATTATGTTGTGAAAAGTGTAATACAGACGCAAACACTCATTAAAACAACAAGATTTAAGATTGGAATTTGATAATAATCTTTTCGCTTTGCACTGAGAGTCTTTAACAGTGACTTCTGGGTCGAAATTAAACAGAAAGTAATTACGTAGTGTTTTTTCCAGGGGTACGGGTACCGGTAAATGAAATCCTTTTAGGTCTTTAATAGCCTGTAGAGCAGGCGTAATTTTGGCGAGCTAGTGTTCATATTGTCTTACCGAGAATTATGGCCGCCATCTTTGATTTTAATGGCAGCGGAAGGCTGGGAAGAGAAAGAAAGTTCTGCCAAGGGGGCGGTCGACAGTCAATGATAAGGAGAGGGGTGGGGGTAGGGGAGTGACTGATTTAGCGTGGAAAGTGTTCGTAAAGTAATCATCCCAATCAAAAAATTTTTTGATTTGGGCTTCCTTATGTGATTTCTCATCATTAGCTTTGGTGATCTTTTTTGCCCAAAACCCAATAGTTTCAATTAGCTGTTGAAGCAAGTAATCTCAGGAAAAACCGATAAACTAATCTGCATAGTTAACATATTCTGTTTTCTGCATTGCTAGCGTATTGTTAGGATTGTCTACTTTGCCTAAACCCGAGAAAACTGAACCAAATGGCATCAGGGACGGATTCAGGGACGGATTCAAGGACGGATTCACGGAAGGATCCAAAGTTGGCTTTAACTGAATTGCCCAAAGGAGTAAAAGAGCTGTGCGATAGTTATAAAAAATTGAAAGAGTCTCGAGATAATCTTGAGAAGATGGTTGTCAAAAAACAAGACGGAGCCATAGATCAGGCAATAATGGTAACCCGGCTGGAGATGGAGACAAGTGCTAATCTGAAGTTTTATTTATCAACTTTTAAGAAAATGACTACCGAGACAGAGTTTACAAATCTAGCCATGAATGGGAGAGGAGCGATGAATGATCTGAAAAAAGTACTGAGCAAGGGCGAGGTGTCGAAAGATTTTGAAAGCGAGGCAGAAGGCTATCAAGACAATGAGGGCGAAGATGAGAACCACAGCTTCGACGAATTTATGGAGTCTATCGTGGAAAAAACACCTGAAATTGCAAAATGCTTTTTGTGGATTTTTCAAGGTTACATCAAGGAGCAACTTAGAAAAGCTTTTGAAAGTAAGGACTATACTAAACCAAAAGAATTAAAAGAAAAGGTTAGGGAAGTCAGAGAAAAAATGCGAGCGCTTTATTTAGCCGAAGAAAAGAATCGTTCAATTCTTGATACTTTAGTCACCACAAATTATCAGCCCACCAAAATCGACAAAAAAAATCTTAAGGATTCTTTTGAAAATTCAGAAGGTGAATTCTCTTTGACTGTGACCCCTGTGCAAGACAAATCGTAAGTCACTGGCAGTAAACTTAATAGACGGAAGAGTTCTCAGTCACTGCAACTCAAAACTCTTAAAACGCTGCGGCCGCCGAAGAAAAATCTGTAACAATTACTCAGTAGAAAGTTCCACAGTAATACTTGAGATATCAGTAAAAACATAATCAATAAGTACCTAAAAACTTCACAAATCCTTCATTGTATTATAGCAATAAGGGGTGTTTATACAGCACAGAGTAAAGCAGTTGGTGAGTGTGTAGAGGTCCTTGTAAATATGGAACTCAAGCTTATTATTGTTTGCAAATTAGTCATTATATTATTCCACGCAAGCAGTAACAACAGTTTGTGCCATTTGTTGAGGCCTTCTAAGAGGTATTGGGGACAAGCGACATTGCTGAAAAATGTGGCGACAATCTTGTTCCGATGAAACGATGAACCAACCGCCGAAAAAAACTGACAGAAAAGGTGTGACTTTTAGCAACAGCGACATTGTTAAAAATGTAGCGACAATCTTGTTCTGCTGAACTGACAGCCGGAAAATACTGACAGAAAAGGAGCAACATTTTGCAACAACGACAATACATTTTTAATTTCGACGAAGCGACAATTCTTTCGCTTTGATTTTTCTGACTGAGGCATCTCAGGTGAAACATGTTTCTCTATTATTTTGTTCATGGGATGCTCAAGTTGAGATAAAATCTCCAATGATTATTGTTAGGACCACTGCTTTGCCAAGCAACTGGGCTAAAACAGATTGCTGGCAATACATAAAACAACACTGAATACACCAATTGGCAACAGGTTCCATGCTGTCATACATGTTTTTTCTGTGTTTTCCACATAAAGTGTTTCCTTTCAATTTCAGTAATTTTACATGAACAGCAAATAAATTGTATATCATATTCCATAGTCTGACATTCCTGTTTATTTTGAATAAAATTAATTTCCTCTACTAGATTATCCACACCACGAATGTGTATATTCTGTTTCATTGCAGTTGAATGACTGTCTTCATATCTCAGAAGAGAAAACAATTGCTTTACTTTTGTATTTTGTACAATAACTTGAAATCCACATTAAAAATCCTGTTTTCCCAGTGTGGTTCCTTAAAATCAAGGTCTCAAAAGATATTCTGCTTTCAGTTAAATTACTTAATTCTCTGTGACTTACTTCATTAAAGTGTACATTTATGTTAGTGCCAAAAATTGTAACACTGTCAGGCAGGGTAACAGATGTTAAGCAGTACTTACTCTGCATTGTATTGTTAAGCTGAGATCCATTTTCAATAATTGCATCTAAGGTATTTGAGTTCCAGTAACTACAAGGTGAAATGATTGAGTAATGATGTAGAATAAAGAACCACTACAAAACAGTGGTCTTTGCTACACTTGTGTTGACCTGATATCTCTTATTATCTCTCTTACATTGTTGCTTTTTGCCACATCATATTTTGTAATTTGTTAACCTTTTAGTTCATACAGATCAGTTGCTCCATATAAACTTTGAAAGTGATGCACTAAGTTGTCCCTTGAGAGTGACTTTTACCATAAACATCTCTAGCATGTGAGTCAAACACTTAAAATGGCCATTATCAGCACAGTAACTAATACCCACAGCAATACATCCAACTGTTAAAATATATGACCTATATCATTCTGATATCAATGACTCAAAGGCTCTTTTCAGGCCCATACAGTATTGATATCCCTCAATGGTAGGTTCACCATGGACATTACCAGTGTAACTTTCACTGCATTCTAGCTGGTAGTCTTCCTCTAGTACTGTCAGCATTGATGGTAAATCTGTTAGCAGTAAAAATGATTGTCTTGATAATTGTGACAAACTGCTATATAGTTGACTTCCAATATGCATTATTTGTTTCAAGTCATTTGGATTGCCTATTCCTTTCATATTGTGGTATATTAATCCACATAAACTCATTGCAACACATTGTTGCCCTGCAGTTTGTCCAAATACAACAACATCCCCTTGACTATATGGTGCATACAAGGAACAGGGTTTTCTCTATATCATTATAGAGCTTGTTCTTTGTACAATTGCCTCTGTGAATTACACCCTTGTACTCACTATATGGGAAATTACACAAAAAGAACCTTAAGTATTTGAGATATGTCTTTCCATGTTTATCTGTGCTTGAATTGCAGACATCTCATTGAAGAGTTAACGTTTCTTGCTCTAAAAATTGGTTTCCTTCTCATTTTTTGTACAAACCTGATTCTTTTTTTATATGTACTTTTTTTTCATGTTGCATTACTTTTGATAAGATCATGGACTTTCGTTGACTTCGGTACGTTTTTACTTAAACGGCTCCGTACATCACTCTGCAGTTTTCTAATTTTCTGAGAGAAGTTTTCACATCCTCACTGGTACTCCGCTTGGTTCACGATCACGTTTATAGCCATGGCATTCTCACACAACACGAGTACGATTATAATATACAGACTTTGCACAACGAGATCTGAATTGTTGTACTTTTATTGACACTGTAAAATCATTATGTTCATGTACATTGGTCATGTTGACAACTTTTTCTTGTAGATCACAATCATCAAGAGTATTCATTATACAAAGAACATACAACTCCATGCGGAGAGCAAACCAACATTCACGATCGCTTGTACAATAATAAGAGTGATTGTGTAAGAAATACCAAATCGTACTTTACAAGTATTGAACCCAATAAAAACCATTAGCAGAAACAGGATATTTAACGGAAGAGCTAAGCTTAGATATTTAACCTTACTATTCAAGTTGCTTCTGTCAGTATCCTTATCCAATTCGCTGTTGTTAGCGCCACCTTCGAAGTTGTGTTCACGAACATTCTTGATTTTTTCAGCAAGTGAGGTGTTCATCTCAGCATCATAGTTTTTTGTTAAATCGGCTGTCACAGTTTTGCCAGTATTTTCGAAGTTTGAACTCGCATATGGCTCATTTGTTACCTCGTGAGAACTAATTTGAACTTTTCACATTTGGCTAGCTTTCAAGCTAGAGAGTTCGTGGACCGGCCTATTCCGAAAACGCTCGACATCATTTAGTGTGGGCCTACCACGAAGAGCGTGTGCATTTGTATGTGAGACGAGCGTATAAGACAGGAATCTTTTCAAGGCGGACTTTAAAAGAAACAGCATTCTGTAAGTTTATGTTGTTTACGAATAGCTAGCGCATGATAACACAATTTATTGCACTCATCCCCAGTTTCCACGGTTTACGCAAGGAATGCCTCAACATGATCTCGAGACCGAAATTACGATTATCGTTATTTCTAAATTGGCACCAAATTTATGGATATAGTAATTTCGTGGCACTCTTTACCAATGCTCTTTACACGTGTTAAATAAAGAGAAGGACTCGGTTCCACTGTCTTACAACATTCAAGATGGCGGAGGAAAGGGGTAAATGTGCGTTCAGTTGTGATCAGCATGATCTCGACACAAAAATAACGATTACCGTTATTTCTAAATTGGCCCTGAAATAACGAATATCATAATTTCAGTGCATGTCTGAGACCTTCGGGCTCGAAGCTTGGGAACTAGTATTCAGGGAAAGATAAAATGGCGGCTTACGGCGGCGAAGGAAATCTCAGTAGTTGAATATTTTTTAGCGTGAAAAGGCTTGGGTGTTGTGATCTGGTTCTCAAGTAAAAAAAAATCACGGTCTGCAATGGCCCTACCACCTTTTGAACAACAAGAAAACATTGAAACGGTGGTAAAAAGCAGCAAGTTTCGAAGTCTAAACGAAAGATGGGTAAGCTGAGTTTCAGTCAAATATCATGACATTTGGGATGTAATTTCGATACCGAATAAATAGTTCTACATGGTTACACACGCATAGGATTCTGTTGTGTTCACGTGAAGGCCATTTCAGCCATTCCTGCCACTTGTAAGTGGTAGGAAATAAAAGATATGTATAGTTGTTTCGTATTGAAGCCCTGTGAAATCACAAATTTGATTTATTTCTTCTTTGTTTTAAGTGGTCATTATCCATTACTTTTGGAAGTCGATGCTGATGAGAAAGAAAAAATGTTTATGATTATTTCTTCTCTCGAACATTTTACTATTTAGGTACCAAATAATCTTGATACTGAAGATCATTGCATCCATATTTCTGAAAAAATTACCCTTGATTGCTTTGTCAACTGGAATGTATAATGTAATATACCTTGTGATTTGTGGGATTTTCACAAGTAAACTAGAAATACTTGAAGAGGTTAATGATGTACTTAATGCAGAGCATTTGGTACAAAGTCTGCTTTGCTGTAATCTACCTGAAGGTGCTTTTTATATGCTAGTAAGACTTGCACAGCCCAGTCAAAATGTTTTTGAGTAGTAGAAAAGCTGGCCAAACCTCTTCCTGAAAAGCAGTCTGAAAAATGTGAAGTTAGCGGAAGGTACTTCATTGTAGGCGGCCAAATTGTAAGCTGCCAGCCCATTTTGAGTGAGCAGTAAAACTCAAGATTGGCTATTTTAGCTAATTTTATTGAGAACCAAATTCCCAGCAACGGGCACAATTTTACTGGGCTATTTGTTATTTAACTACTTAGTAATATTCTTATTAAAATTTACTGCATTCCTTTCTAATAATTTGCTGCTGATTGTATGCTGTATATAGCTTATGATTTGTGTGATTTTCACAAGTAAATTAGAAATACCTGAAGATGGTAATGATGTACTAGATAATGTACTTGATGCAAAGCTATTTTGGTGCAAAGTGTGTGCCTTGTCCGTAGGTGATTTTGCATGCTAATAAGACTTGTAATTCAAATAATACACATCAGCTGGAGTGGGAATATTAAAAGAAAAATAATAATATTTAGCTATACCAAGTTCTGGTTTTATGTCCAAAGTGTGTGCCTTGTCCGTAGGTGATTTTGCATGCTAATAAGACTTGTAATTCAAATAATACACATCAGCTGGAGTGGGAATATTAAAAGAAAAATAATAATATTTAGCTATACCAAGTTCTGGTTTTATGTCCAAATTAAGCACTTAGTTGAAG